GTCGTTTTCACCAATAATGAATAGTTTCGACACAAACAAATCCAAAGCTTGAAAAATCTCGATTTTGAACACCCTATCTCGATTTTGAACACCCTATATCACTGTAATCATTGCCGCTAGACCCCAAGTGTGATGCATTAATGAAATCAGCTCATCAGGAAGAATCTAAAAATGCAATGAAATACGGGGCGTTCCATTAAAAAAAAACATAACTCTGATTTCAAATTGCGCATACAAAGATTCTACATCCAGCCAATATGGTAAAATTTGAAATTTCTAAAATTCCGAGTAGTTCCGGAGATATGCATAAAAACCCGAAATATGCCGTTTTCTTTTTATTATTTCTGACTTTTATCATTAGGATCTCGGAAACCATAAGAGATACAAATATGGTTGAATAAGAAAATTGTTGCACATTTCCACGCCTAACAATATGCCGTTTTGAAAGTTTAAAATTTCCGAGTAGTTACGGAGATATGCCTAAAAACCGAAATTTGCCGATTTCGTTTCATTTGTTCTGACGTTATTCAACGATATAAAGGAAAACAAAACACACATTCAAATTTGCAAGATCCCCATGGTACAAAATAATATTGACGATTTTTTTCTGTCGATTCTGTGTATACAGTGAGTCCGAAATAAGTATGTCTTATCTTGGACACACTGTATACACCCAATAGACAGAAAAAAATCATCAATATTATTTTGTATCATCAAAGAAACAAAATATTATGAACAAAGGATTCGCGATAACTAGATAATGAAAAATCTCCAATGATACAAACTTGAACTGTAACATTGTTGAATCAGATTCTTGATCACAATTTTAATGCCTGTAAAGCGTTAAACTGAGCCGGTATATAATGATCATATTGAATAGTAGTGTTCATACGATATTCATATTGGTACTAGTAGCGATTTGAAATATTATTCAGGCGTGGAAATATTTACTCTGAGTATCGTGCATAGGTGATCTATCTGATTCCTTGGTATTAAAAAAACACTAAGAAAACACTCACCATCTTGGAAAAGGACAACATCAATACAATCCATCCCAGTCTTTTCAATGCTGAACAATCTAATTCACGACAGCAAGAAAGCAAAATTCCAGAACACACTGCTCACACTCACAGACACAAATAATGCAATATAAACACTCAACTAAACCAAACATTTCGATTTAACGCATGTAAATAAAACGAGTTCTTTTCATCACTCGAGTCAACCGAACGCGATGAAATTTAATACAAGACTGCGTGCATGGTGCTTGATTCACCTGCCTAATGACTAATCAGTTATGTCATCCGTCTAATCGATTAAATCCCGAAAACTTGAATCTTATCTATGACGAATATGATGATATCGACAGTAGGTATACAAGAGGGGGTGAAAAAATTCCAATGTATTCACGACCCAAAACAATACAGGGTCATTCACGACACGCTTCCGTGTGTTTCCCATTCAACTATATGGAACATCACTAATCTGTTTTGATAATTTCGATACTAGGTGAATTGAATAAATTACATTACCTATACATTTCATTCAAAAAAGTTAATTAAATATTAACTTGTAATTCATGAATGAGATCAACGAACAAAGAAAGATCTTTTTTATAGTATAATTAACGTCGAGAAAAATTTACATTACACAGATTTTCAGTGTTTTCGAAGATATTATTATTAGCTTATTTCTTTATTATTTTAAATCGAACGAAAGAGATACAGGGCCTGTTAAATTAAAGCAAAGTTGCGCAGTTTTATGCCTAAGTAACAAAATGCCGTTTCGAAACTTGAAAAATTCCAAATACTTTCGGAGATAAAAAATGCCGAAATTTCCTAAAACCACTTCTATTTTCTCAACTAACTTCTAACCCTCAAAATTGTTTCTGACAATCATTGATACTAGGGGAATTGAAAAGACAGAGCTCGATATATATGTCTTATTCCTTTATTCAATCATCAATGTATTTTTTTAAAACAGAAAATGATAGAAGTATAGCTTTGTCCGGACTCTTTTCTAAGGTATATATAGGGACTCTAATTATTATTAGCTTATTTCTTTATTATTTCAAATCGAGCCTCATCATTGGGACATGGTAAACCGAAAGAGATACAGGGTCTGTTAAATTATAGTAAAGTTGCGCAGTTTTATGCCTAAGTAACAAAATGCCGTTTCGAAACTTAAAAAATTCCAAATACTTTCGGAGATAAAAAATGCCGAATTTTACTAAAACCACTTCTATTTTCTCAAAGTTATTCGAAGAAATTAATCGAAATGAATGACACTTTATCGTGGCCACTGTTTCTTCCCTAACAGTTGGCGTTTTCAAATTTGAAATCCGACGTTTCTTCCAGAAACCATCATCAACTTTTTAATACGGTCCTGGTTTTTCCATTGAATCTTTGCATACCCCAATTGGGTTATACAGAGGTTTGAGAACATGAAATTAAAAAAATAATTTCAAATTTGAAAACGGCAACTTGTAGAAAAAAAGTGGCCATTATGAAGTGTCATGTACAATTAGATTCTTTTCCACAATTTTAATGCCGGTAAAGCGTTAATCTCTACCGGTATATGATATCATATTATACAGTAGATATTCATATTGGTGCTAGTTTCGATTTAAAACATTATACAGGCGATCAATCTGATCCCTTGGTATAACAAAAAAAAAACACTAAGAAAACACTTACCATATTGGTAAAGGACAACATCAATACAATCCATCCCAGCCTTTTCAATGCTGGAGACAATTTAATTCACGACAGCAAGAAAGCAAAATTCCAGAACACACTGCTCACACTCACAGACACAAATAATGCAACATCATCACTCAAATAAACCAAAAATTTCGATTTGTCGCGTGTAAATAATACGAGTTATTTTCAAAAATCACTCAAGTCGACCGTTCGCGATGAAATGTAATACAAGACTGCGTGCATCGTGGCCTGGTGCTTGATTCACCTGCCTGATGACTAATCAGTTATGTCATCCGTCTAATCGATTAAATCCCGAAAATTTGAATCTTATCTATGACGAATATGATAATATCGACAGTAGGTATACAGGAAGAGGTAAAAAAATTTCAATGTATTTACGACCGAAAACAATGCAGGGTCATTCACGACACGCTTCCGTGTGTTTCCCATTCAAGTATATGGAACATCACTAATATGTTTCGATAATTTCGATGCTAGGTAAATTGAATAAATTACATTTTCTACACATTTCATCCAAAAAATGTAATCAAATATTAACTTGTGATACATGAATGAGATCAACGAACAAAGAAAGATTATTTTTATAGTTTGATTGGCGTTGAGAAAAATTTACATTACACATATTTTCAGTGTTTTCGAAGACATTATTAGATTATTTCTTCGTTATTTCAAATCGAGCCTCATCATTGGGATATGGTGAACCGAAAGAGATACAGGGTCTGTTGAATTATAGCAAAGTTGCGCAATTTTATGCCTAACAAAATGCCGTTTTGAAACTTGAAAAATTCCAAATACTTTCGGAGATAAAAAATGCCGAAATTCCCTAAAATCATTTTTAAATTTTCAAAGTAATTTAGAAAAATTAATCGAAATGAATGACACTTTATCGTGTCCTAGCAGTTGGCGTTTTCAAATTTGAAGTCCGACTTATGTTCTTCCAGAAACAATCAACAACTTATTATTTTAAACACGGTTGTAGTTTTTTCATTCAATCTTTGTACACCTTTGAATATCCCAAAAGCTAAGAGCTACAACTTTTCATTTTCGATCGTTTCGTTTAAAAAACTTGCAGTTTTTGTAAATCTAGTTCTCCTGTATTCCATTTACATCAGTATAACTTCTGTTCACATTGCTCAGTGGAGTATTAATGTAATTTCATGACATCTACTTCTTGTATGGAAAATGATTTCGAGTTGGATATGATCTTTGGCGAGTGTGGAATGACTGAATGAATCACCCAGTACAAATACAGATACGACCAACCTCTTCAATTCTGTTCATATAAAAAAATAGTGACACTTCTAGGTTTGTGTTTCATTTCTAACAGTTACGAACAATTTTAAGCTATACCGTCCAATTTCTTCATCATTCATATAATATGTTGGTGGAACTACCATTTCTCGATTTCCTGTAGGATCTGTATCCGAATACAATAACTTGTTTCACTAGAAAATTAAGAGAATTCGACATTTAACGAAAGTCTAACTTCCACGCTCTGTATAAAAAAACTACATAGAAGAAGTTTGGGCCCGTGAGAACTTTTGTTCAGAATAACATTACCTACAAAATACCCACATTTCAGCCAATTTGACCGAAACATATTTCTCATAAGATCTGTGCGGGGTCCTTTTTTTCGTACGTCTCCGAAAGTATTGGGAATTTTTTAAGTTTTAGAACGATATTTTGTTAGACAAACTTTGCCATAATTCAACCGACCCTCTATATCTCACGATTTACGGGATCCCCGGGCTCAAATTCCAGCATCCCTGTACATGAACCAGTACATAATAATAATAATAAAGTTTATTCGCAAGATCAGGTACAAAAAATACAAAATTCCAAGATGTTACACTGAGTTGATGTAAATAAACAAAGCTACATGAACCAGTACATTGTTTATACAGGATGTCCTGTGACTCGATCGCCATACCTGGAGGGCATATTCCTTCAACAATTTTAAGTCGAAAGTGCCCTATACACATTTGTCCAAAACTCCATAGTTGAGGAGTAATGAGCAAATTCAAATTCAACATAGCGCCTAATGAAGCAAAGAGAATGTTGAATAAAGTGATATAATATCTAGGCCGTCTCTTATGGATGCAGCTGTTGTCATAATATTTGGTATTAGCTCATCTGTGGTTTGTGGTTTATTTGAATACACTATACTTTTCATGTTCCTAAAGATAATGATGGTCAGGTGACCTCGGTGGCCCAAGAATTGGGCCACGTCTTGCAATCAAGATCTTTCTTGATATATTTTCGATGTTTTTTTTGCAGGAATCTTGCTACCAGAACTAATATCGAGTTTAATTCTCCTGGAACAAGAAGTTAAAACATTCCTTCTGCCGATGAACTGGCTGAACGTTTTTGACGAACCACTTAAAGCTCTGGACAAACTCTGCCGGCTCATGCCAGAAATCGAAATCCACGATTCTGACGATATCGCCTGGCCGGGAATCTACCAAGCCAAACCGAACACCGTACCCCACAAACCCCACGAAGACTTACCACTGATCAGACAAGCCGATCTGGAAAACCACAACCTGGACGGCGGCTGTTGGATCGTCATCAACAACAAAGTTTACGATGTCCAGGACTTCCGGTGCGAAAACGCCTCAGTCACGGAACTGTTGCAGAAATATGCCGGCAGAGACGCCACTCACGCCTTCAACAGTCTGCCGCAGAACTGCCAACTGTCGATGCTGTTGGAGAATCACTTGGTCGGCAGCTATTGCCAACCTGAAACGCCAGACTCGCATCAAAACGATACGGATGGCCTTCAGGTTTGTTTGGCGCTGTTGGACGTTGAAAGGAATCTGGGCTACTTATTGGGCTTGCATGCCTGCAATTTGAGGCAAAGTTTGGCCTTGACGCAAGAGGAAATCGTCGCTTCGCAGTGGCTGAAATCTCCATTTTTGAGTGGGGGACTACAGGTAATGATGATGATTATTTTTGTCACACTAACAATGTGTGATTCTAGCTAATCAATCGGTATTATACTGATAAAACTGCTCCTCCTCGGTAAAGCCTTGTTTACATTGAACTTTCAAAATTAACCAGACTTACTTGTGTTTGCCCACTTGTTGCTGACTTATGTGTGAGTAACAATAAAATCAATTATCAATTTTTGGAGAAAGCATAATCTAACCTTTTTGAACTCGAACTGTTTGCTTCGAGGCAAACCGATTCAAACAAACCCAATTTAGATAAAATCATTTCATCAATAGGATTGTTTTCAAAATGTTTGTCAAAAAAACTGAATTTCCTGAAAAATAAAATAGTGGTTCTAGAACCAACTACTTTGATCAGGTAGAATGTTCGATGTCGAGAGACGTTACCGTCACCATCTTGAAAAATGACACCAACAATGTACACCCTTTGCCTATGCAATGTTAAAAAATGGTAATATCCTACGGCAAGCATACTCATACACACAAATTATAATATGATCACTTCACTAAACGATAAATTTCAAAATGTCACTTGTAAATAGTACGAGTTATTTTTGTTTGAACCATTTCAATAGACTTTCCTCGATGACATCTAATATAAGACTGCATGGCTTCATGTATGATTCACCATCCTAATGACTAATTAGATACGTCGCCGTTCAAACCGATAAAATCCAGATAGTCGATATTGAAAAAATATAACATTTTTCAAATTGCTAAAGAATTTTGATTCTATTTTGTGGTTATCTTTCAACTACCAAATTTGAACATATATCTATTTCATTTTTTAATCATAGAACTTCTCTCATTGACACATTCATTAAAACTGGTTCTAGAACCACTTGAACTTTGATCAGATAAAATATTGTTCCATGAATAAAGCCTCAAGGATCTGACCTGATCAGTCAGCAATGGTAGGTCATCGTCGTAGAGTTGTTCACGGAAAGCGGTCATTTAGTTCAATTTAATTTTGTTCGTTTATACATCAAATTGAATAAGTTTTCTTTGTATTCACCAGTTATTTCAAAAAATATTTGATGTATACATTTGTATTGTGATTGGCGTAATAGCAATGCCTTATCCTTGTGGTGTACTCCCTCTTTTTATATGTCTATGGGTGTACTAGAGTGCTATAGAAATTATAAGAATCGAAGGAATGGCATAAACATTAATGTGATCATATTTTCCATCTAGATATACGGTTTTTGTTTCCTCTTGGACTCAGAAAATGAATAGTAGTAGTTTTTTTTTCACCTTTCAAGTTACATTAAATCAAAGATAATATTATACATTCATTTAGAACCGATTCGAAAACTGGCAGTACCATATTCCATAATACTGTCATTACCTATCTAATTATCTAACTGATATCTCATGATTTCATATGGTTTCCAGATCGACCAACCACCCAATCCTTATGAAGAAGAAAAAGGAGAATCGCGTAGCACAAATTCGACTGCGGGTAACACGCCCACAGAACCGAGAGCAAACATAGCTCAAAAATCGTTGAAATACTCTCAACAACCAGTCGAACGAATACAATCGTTCATAAATGCTTTAGCCGAAAGCCGGTTGTCCGTAAGTTCATGAATTGTTAGTTTATACAGGATGGAACATAAGACGTTGGAAAGATCATCTTAACACGTTGACTGCCATGTCGGTCTATTAGACCGAGAAAAAAATATCCTGACGTGCCGCCTCGGTCTCATAGACCAAGATTGGAGTTGATACACCAGGCCGGCTCGGCCTATAGGACCGAGTCAATTGAACCGCCCGTGGAGCCGTCGGTCTGAATTATTGTTAATAATATCGCGGAGAGTGACCAAGACGGCTTCAGTGACAAGTTTATATTGCATATCGTCCTCATCAGACACAGCACTAGACCGAGGCCGAACCCCGACGGACCGAGCTGGCGGACCGACGCGGCGTACACGGGTATACATGTATAAACGAGCGCCGACTCGGTCTATAAGACCGAGCCAAATTTCTTCAATTTTTTGGATCCAGTGTCCCAATTTTCAAGAATTTCAACGATATACTATCTTCTGTAGGCTTCAGCTACATAGAGTCACTCATGGTTTCTGGGACAAAATTTTTGATTTTGCTTCGGCTCTGATACCAACAGTGTGTATATGAGCCCGGCAGTCAACGTGTTAAAGATGCAACGTTGCCAGTTGTATTTTAAACTGGCAACGACTCCTCCTTGGAATTCTCTCAACCTTTTTACCTAACCGTGCTGCTGATGTTCTCGTTATATTTGATCATAATATTTCCTAACTATTTTTTGCCTTCCTACTTCTTTGCATACACAGCTGAATTACGAGAAATAATAACATGTTTCACTCATAAAATAACACTAATATGTATCGATAGTATAATGAGCTATTAGTATTTTTTTTCATCAATTCATCTTGAAAAAAAATATTGAAAACGCCAGAATGAACGAGCGTGTGACATGTGACGTCAGTGCGCGATCGATTTAGAGTTTTAATGCCCTCACCTTCTTGCGGGGGCCAATAAAATGCACAATGAACTCGACAGTGATGCAAATTTGGACAGAAAACTATGATTAGTCGGATATTCATTTCTCGATTTTTTCATTTCAGCAAATAACAGATGCTGTTAGATAACTCAATAATACTTACATACCCGAAAATTCGTGGTAATGAAAAATTGCATTGCGTAATTAGTTGGATGTTTGATTTCTGTTGGTGGATTATTAAAAATTGTAAGTGAAACTTCATTTTGTATTGAATTACTGTGCAGATATTCATGACTTTCAGGTTCAAATCTTTTCCAGTAAAGTACTTTCAAATTTTGGTACTCTCCTTGTACCATCTTGCACATAAGATCAATTCAACGATTCCAGGGAGACGTGGCAATAGCGGCGTGTTTCCCAGTGGTCACAAACTCCATCCAATCAAATTGCAAGGAGACACTGACATCACAGCTCAGTAGTGCTTGATTTCACAGGTATTGAAATAGCATTTTCAATATTGAATAATTCATTTGTTGTACGATTTTCTCTATAGATATGTGGTCAGGATAAAGTTTTTGACTTTCCTTCATAACATCATAGCAAAAAAAGTAAAATTTCACAATACAAAAAAATGATAGTACGTCGAGGCATCATCATATGATCATGTTTTATTTCCCAAGTTTTGCTTTTTTAGGTGGCAGAAGAATATAGTAATGTGTATCAATTTCTCTGGTATCTTTCTTCATATGACTAACTTCAAGTCCTAATGAAAAGATTCACCTTGTTGATTTCTGACACTTCGAAGGTTTTCAGGAAAAAATCGAAGTGCGAGTGTAAAAGTGAATTCTCAGCGACATGTTCACTTCAATTACTTGAAAATATTTTTGTGGTATGATTGTAGACATACATAACTTTCGATATAAATTGTTTGGATAATGTCTTTTATCTATAGTGTCATTATTACTGTCAGTTGATGTGATTAAATGTGTATAGGTCTTTGATTGAAATGATCATGAATTTTAACTCATCAAGTACCTGAAATGTTAGTGGTTTCTGTCATGAAGAGGTATATTTCGAAAATCATTACCCACTGATACATGGACTGTTTATAATACAGAAATTGTATCAGACAGAGATATAGGATGTACATAGTACACATTGAAAAGAAGTTTCAGTCGTTTTTATGAACCTTAATGGGACATAGAATTTGAGCCACCCTGTATGTTAAAAGTTGGAAGCATTCCATGATCACACTTCATACGTTCAAGTTCAACTGTTTTTGATTTGCTGTGTGAAGATAACGGTTGATGAAAATTATTAGGAGAGAATTTCAATAGGCATTTCAAAAATGTAAGATGAGTCTGATGTTTCATCCACCGTGAATCACCCTGCATAAATATGTCTTAGTTGAACTTTCCCTAGGACCCCTACGTCATTGCATTTTTGGCGATAGTAGAGCAACATTCCAAGGCGAATAATTTCCTAACTAGAGTGGACTTTTCCTTTGAGCATCCAATAGAAGAGATCGGTAGAGTTCTGTTTGCGGTTTTGTTGAAGCATTTAGGACTCGGTTATGTTTTGCTACCTATTTTAGAAGCATGTAAGTGGAAGTAATCTCACTGTTTTCGTTTGCATTTCGATTCATTTTCATTTCGTTTCATTAGATGCAGTTCAACCTAATTTGAAGATCCCGAAATCGATAAGTGAGGTTATCAAAGTTGTCCACCAAACCAAGTGGAATTTAATAAAGACTCGCCAAGACGTGAACAAAGGTTACAAGGAAATTTGCATTCCTCTTTTGGAGAAATGCCGGTTCCTGCTTTACGAAACCAAACCAGCTATAAGCATCGAAATGGAGGCGTTCAAAAAAGTCAACATACTCTACAAAGAACCGAGAGTGAGAACCTTGGTGAAAAAAGTCATCAAAGATTTGAAATGTGGGCGACACACTTCGGACATACAAAAACCCGAGGACATCGTCAATGCGACCATTCAATCACAAAGTATCGAGCGTCACAAGTCCAGTGAGGATATCAGCAAGACTGTGAAAAAAACGACTTCAGAAGGAAAAATCTCGGAAAGCAAAAGTGAGACGGACGATGTGAACAATGAAATTAAAAATGGCGCCTACAAAGCTTCTGCGGAAAGTAAAGCGATGGTCGATTCCTTCAACTCGAACAGTGTGAAAACCGAGCAAAGGCTTGCGAAAAGCTTCAACGAGAACAAGACTGAAACTGACGAGAAATGGACGGTGGAAAAATCTGAAAATGTCGTTAGCAACGACACCGTCCAGCAAGATAAGGATAGGAAAATAGAAAACCAGATTGCTCTTGCTGGAATCGTTTCGAAATTACATGAGAAACAAATGAAGAAAGTTAGTAGTGAGAATCTCAACGTTATGCATTCCATTTTGGAGTTTATCGTCCAGTCTGGCTGTGAAGTAGAAGTACTCAGAAAGGCCATGTATAATCAGGTGAGTTTACTAGAAATGAATATGCAAGTGTTGAAATTGTAAGGTTAATCAAATTTGAATTGGATGCTAGGTATATTCTTTTTTTAAAATTGAAGGAATGATCTGAATGAAATATTATTGCGATTTTTGCAATTTCCAGAAATTTTTCTGATTTTCAGGAATTTTTGCATTTTTTCTATCTGCAATTTTCAGGAATTCTTGCGATTTTTGCAATTTTCAGTAATTTTCAGGAATTATAGCAAATTTTGCAATTTTCAGGAATTTTTGCAAATTTTTTCTAATTTTCAGGAATTTTTGCATTTTTACTATCTGCAATTTTCAGGAATTCTTGCGATTTTTGCAATTTTCAGTAATTTTCGCTATTTTCAGGAATTATAGCAATTTTTGCAATTTCCAGGTATTTTTGCAATTTTTACAATTTTCAGGAATTTTTGCAATTTTCAGGAATTTTTGCAATTTTTGCAATTTTCAGGATTTTTGCAATTTTTGCAATTTTCAGAAATTTTTGCAATTTTTGCAATTTCTGCAATTTTCAGGAATTTTTGCAATTTTCAGAAATTTTTTCAATTTTTGCAATGTTCAGGAATTTTTGCAATTCTCAGGATTTTTTAAATTTTTGCAATTTTCAGGGATTCTTGCAATTTTGCGATTTTTGCAATTTTCAGGAATTTTTGCGATTTTTGCAATTTTCAGTCATTTTTGCGATTTTTGCAATTTTCAGGAATTTTTGCTATTTTGCAATTTTCAGGAATTTTTGCTATTTTTGCAATTTCCAGTCATTTTTGCGATTTTTGCAATTTTCAGGAATTTTTGCGATTTTTGCAATTTTCAGGAATTTTTGCGATTTTTTGCAATTTTCAGTCATTTTTGCTATTTTTGCAATTTTCAGTCATTTTGCGATTTTTGCAATTTTCAGGAATTTTTGCGAATTTTGCAATTTTCAGGAATTTTTGCGATTTTTTGCAATTTTCAGGAATTTTTGCGATTTTTGCAATTTCCAGGAATTTTTGCGATTTTTGCAATTTTCAGTCATTTCTGCGATTTTTGCAATTTTCAGTCATTTTTGCAATTTTTGCAATTTTCAGTCATTTCTGCGATTTTTGCAATTTTCAGTCATGTTTGCGATTTTTGCAATTTTCAGTCATTTTTGCGACTTTTGCAATTTTCAGGAATTTTTGCGATTTTTGCAATTTCCAGGAATTTTTGCGATTTTTGCAATTTTCAGTCATTTCTGCGATTTTTGCAATTTTCAGTCATTTTGCAATTTTTGCAATTTTCAGTCATTTCTGCGATTTTTGCAATTTTCAGTCATTTTTGCGATTTTTGCAATTTTCAGTCATTTTTGCGACTTTTGCAATTTTCAGGGAATTTTTGCGATTTTTGCAATTTTCAGCATTTTTGCGATTTTTGCAATTTTTCAGGAATTTTTGCGATTTTTGCAATTTTCAGTCATTTTTGCTATTTTGCAATTTTCAGTCATTTCTGCGATTTTTGCAATTTTCAGGAATTTTTGCGATTTTTGCAATTTTCAGTCATTTTTGCGATTTTTGCAATTTTCAGTCATTTTTGCGATTTTTGCAATTTTCAGTCATTTTTGCGATTTTTGCAATTTTCAGGAATTTTTGCGATTTTTTGCAATTTTCAGTCATTTTTGCGATTTTTGCAATTTTCTGGAATTTTTGCGATTTTTGCAATTTTCAGGAATTTTTGCGATTTTTGCAATTTTCAGGATTTTTGCGATTTTTGCAATTTTCAGTCATTTTTTGCTATTTTTTGCAATTTTCAGTCATGTTTGCTATTTTTGCAATTCTCAGTCATTTTTGCGATTTTTTGCAATTTACAGGAATTTTTGCGATTTTTGCAATTTTCAGTCATTTTTGCTATTTTTGCAATTTTCAGTCATTTTGCGATTTTTGCAATTTTCAGGAATTTTTGCGAATTTTGCAATTTTCAGGAATTTTTGCGATTTTTGCAATTTTCAGGATTTTTGCGATTTTTGCAATTTCCAGGAATTTTTGCGATTTTTGCAATTTTCAGTCATTTTTGCAATTTTCAGTCATTTTTGCAATTTTCAGTCATTTTTGCGATTTTTGCAATTTTCAGTCATTTTTGCAATTTTCAGGAATTTTTGCGATTTTTGCAATTTTCAGGAATTTTTGCGATTTTTGCAATTTTCAGGAATTTTTGCGATTTTTGCAATTTTCAGTCATTTTTGCGATTTTTGCAATTTTCAGTCATTTTTGCAATTTTCAGGAATTTTTGCGATTTTTGCAATTTTCAGTCATTTTTGCAATTTTCAGTCATTTTTGCGATTTTTGCAATTTTCAGTCATTTTTGCGATTTTTGCAATTTTCAGGAATTTTTGCGATTTTTGCAATTTTCAGGAATTTTTGCGATTTTTGCAATTTTCAGGAATTTTGCGATTTTTGCAATTTTCAGTCATTTTTGCGATTTTTGCAATTTTCAGGAATGTTTGCGATTTTTGCAATTTTCAGGGATTCTTGCAATTTTGCGATTTTTGCCAATTTTCAGGAATTTTTGCGATTTTTGCAATTTTCAGTCATTTTTGCGATTTTTGCAATTTTCAGGAATTTTTGCTATTTTTGCAATTTTCAGGAATTTTTGCTATTTTTGCAATTTCCAGTCATTTTTGCGATTTTTGCAATTTTCAAGAATTTTTGCGATTTTTGCAATTTTCAGGAATTTTTGCGATTTTTGCAATTTTTCAGGAATTTTTGCGATTTTTGCAATTTTCAGTCATTTTTGCTATTTTTGCAATTTTCAGTCATTTCTGCGATTTTTGCAATTTTCAGGAATTTTTGCGATTTTTGCAATTTTCTGGAATTTTTGCGATTTTTGCAATTTTCAGGAATTTTTGCGATTTTTGCAATTTTCAGGAATTTTTGCGATTTTTGCAATTTTTCAGTCATTTTTGCTATTTTTGCAATTTTCAGTCATTTTTTGCTATTTTTGCAATTTTCAGTCATTTTTGCGATTTTTGCAATTTACAGGAATTTTTGCGATTTTTGCAATTTTCAGTCATTTTTGCTATTTTTGCAATTTTCAGTCATTTTGCGATTTTTGCAATTTTCAGGAATTTTTGCGAATTTTGCAATTTTCAGGAGTTTTTGCGATTTTTGCAATTTTCAGGAATTTTTGCGATTTTTGCAATTTCCAGGAATTTTTGCGATTTTTGCAATTTTCAGTCATTTCTGCGATTTTTGCAATTTTCAGTCATTTCTGCGATTTTTGCAATTTTCAGTCATTTTTGCAATTTTTGCAATTTTCAGTCATTTCTGCGATTTTTGCAATTTTCAGTCATTTTTGCAATTTTCAGGAATTTTTGCGATTTTTGCAATTTTCAGGAATTTTTGCGATTTTTGCAATTTTTCAGTCATTTCTGCGATTTTTGCAATTTTCAGTCATTTTTGCAATTTTCAGTCATTTTTGCGATTTTTGCAATTTTCAGTCATTTTTGCGATTTTTGCAATTTTCAGTCATTTTTGCGATTTTTGCAATTTTCAGTCATTTCTGCGATTTTTGCAATTTTCAGTCATTTTGCGATTTTCGAGGAATTTTTGCGATTTTTGCAATTTTCAGGAACTTTTGCGATTTTTGCAATTTTCAGTCATTTTTGCGATTTTTTGCAATTTTCAGTCATTTTTTGCGATTTTTGCAATTTTCAGTCATTTTTGCGATTTTTGCAATTTTCAGGAATTTTTGCGATTTTTTGCAATTTTCAGGAATTTTTGCGATTTTTGCAATTTTCAGTCATTTTGCGATATTTGCAATTTTCAGTCATTTTCGCAATTTTCAGTCATTTTTGCGATTTTTGCAATTTTTAGGAGTTTTTGCGATTTTTGCAATTTTTAGTCATTTTTGCGATTTTTGCAATTTTCAGGAATTTTTGCGATTTTTGCAATTTTCAGTCATTTTTGCGATTATTGCAATTTTCAGTCATTTTTGCGATTTTTGCAATTTTCAGTCATTTTTGCGATTTTTGCAATTTTCAGTCATTTTTGCGACTTGCAATTTTCAGGAATTTTTGCGATTTTTGCAATTTTCAGCATTTTTGCGATTTTTGCAATTTTCAGGAATTTTTGCGATTTTTGCAATTTTCAGTCATTTTTGCTATTTTTGCAATTTTCAGTCATTTTTGCGATTTTTGCAATTTTCAGGAATTTTTGCGATTTTTGCAATTTTTCAGTCATTTTTGCGATTTTTGCAATTTTCAGTCATTTTTGCGATTTTTGCAATTTTCAGTCATTTTTGCGATTTTTGCAATTTTCAGGAATTTTTGCGATTTTTGCAATTTTCAGTCATTTTTGCGATTTTTGTAATTTGCATGAATTTTTTGCTATTTTTGCAATTTTCAGTCATTTTTGCAGTTTTGCAATTTTCAGTCATTTTTGCAATTTTTGTAATTTTCAGGAATTTTTGCGATTTTTGCAATTTTCAGGAATTTTGCGATTTTTGCAATTTTCAGGAATTTTTGCGATTTTTGCAATTTTCAGTCATTTTTGCGATTTTTGCAATTTTCAGGAATGTTTGCGATTTTTGCAATTTTCAGGGATTCTTGCAATTTTGCGATTTTTGCCAATTTTCAGGAATTTTTGCGATTTTTGCAATTTTCAGTCATTTTTGCGATTTTTGCAATTTTCAGGAATTTTTGCTATTTTTGCAATTTTCAGGAATTTTTGCTATTTTTGCAATTTCCAGTCATTTTTGCGATTTTTGCAATTTTCAAGAATTTTTGCGATTTTTGCAATTTTCAGGAATTTTTGCGATTTTTGCAATTTTCAGGAATTTTTGCGATTTTTTGCAATTTTCAGTCATTTTTGCTATTTTTGCAATTTTCAGTCATTTCTGCGATTTTTGCAATTTTCAGGAATTTTTGCGATTTTTGCAATTTTCTGGAATTTTTGCGATTTTTGCAATTTTCAGGAATTTTTGCGATTTTTGCAATTTTCAGGAATTTTTGCGATTTTTGCAATTTTCAG